CCAAATAGCTCACATGAAGGTTGAGGGAAGCTTGAGCAAATTGAAAGGGAACCTATCCATCACAATGGAAAGATTAGGAAATATTTGTAAAAATGATAGGATTGAAATCACAAATGTAAAGCACATGTGGTTCTTATGTGAGAATGCTTTGTTGGAGGAGATTGTAATGTGATGAAGTCTTATTAATGAACTGTATAAAGAAGAAATGTCAGCACGAATCTTAGAGGGATCAAACAGCTGGATTGTTGATCAGAATTATATGAAGTGATCGACTAACTTGGCACATCCGCTAAGCCGACCACTAGATCCATCAACTACAGACGATCGGTAGAATCAGTCTGCCGACAAAAGCAGTCAAGGCATAGGCGACCATCAACTAAAGAAAAGTTAGTTATATTGATTACCAAGCATAATATTCAATAGTCACAACAAGTCATCGAAGTCACGTCTATTCGGTTATTTGTATTAGAGATGTGGTTAGATTAGCCGCCCATAATTATGAGAAAAACCTAATAGACCCTCAAACTAATAAAGTAGTATAATTAATTATGTAATTGTAAATTTACGCCACTTATGATTATAGATAGGGGCAATTCTATGAATAAAGGGTCGCACACCCATTTTTTCAAGTTGACAATCTGTCTTTCTCTCTCTCTATTTATGCTCTAAATCTCAAGGCGTGTCTACACAAAGGCAATTTGGGATTCAACATGACAAAAGCATGAAGCTAAGAAAGATAATATAATAACAGTAAGGTTTTTAACATTTAACAAAATGACCTACATACACAATTATTGTAGTAGAAAGAATGAAATTGTCACATTTGTTTTTCCAACAATAACTGTAATTATAACACCATATTAGTGATGTCCTTATGATTTTATCTTGAGTTAAGGTTAACACAAATAATTAAAAGCTGTGTGGCTAGGGCTTTTAATTGATGAGTAGTATTTTTGAAAAAAAGCTAACTGACTACAAGACTATAAAGATTTATATCAATTAAAATTATTACTTAAAAAATAGAATAAAAATATATTAAATTATATCTAAATGATGTTTTATTATAAATAATAAGATTTAAATCTCGTTCCAACTCTTAATATTTTACGGCTGCGTGAATAGGATTGTCAAAACGTCTCTTTGTTTGAGAACAGCGCGTGTTCGACTCACTAAGTAAAGGAGCCGAACACCAAAACTTTTTTTTTATTCGCAATACAAACAAGCCGAACAAAAAACACTAATATTTTTTAACGAGCTAAACACGAGCTAAGTCTGGGCTCACTTGTGCTCTGCCCATTTACAACCCTACTCGTAGCATCAGGCCAAAGTCATGTAAAAAACAGTTGGAAGATTTCCAAACATACCACTCAATTCTCATGTATTCACTTATCTAAAATCTAAGATTTAATTTTTGCATGTAAGCATGTCATTTTTACCTAGAAATGAAAATATATATTTTTTCTGTTTTTTTTTTTTTTTTTGTGCATTTTACTATTACATTAAAAAATAAATATATTAAAACAAAACTCATAAGGTCAATTTAGTATCACGTATTTTTTTTTAATTTTATTTATATTATAATTTGAATTAAAATATATATGATTATGATTATTGTTTTCAAAAATATTTAAAATAATGTTTAGATATTTTGAAGAGTTTTAAGCCTAAGCTAGATATTTTATTTTTAAAGTAAGCTAATTTTTATATCACTTTTATTTTTTTTATTTTTAATTTAAATTAAAATATATTTGACTGTGATTATTGTTTTCAAAAATATTTAAAATAATATTTAGATATTTTGAATATTTTTAAAAATAAGTTTGATACATTTATTATTTTGAGTAAGATACTTCTTACTTCATTTTTATTTTTTTTTAATTTTATTTTTATTGTATTTGATTCATTATTTAATTTGAATTAAAATATATTTAATTGTGATTGTTGTTTTCAAAAATATTTAAAATAAATTTTTAGATATTTTAAATACTTTTAAAAAGAAGTTAGATATTTTTATTTTTAACATGGGTTAATTTTTACAACTCTTTTATTTATTTTTTTTTTGTTTTCTTATTTCTATTTTGCTTTGTTTATATTTTAATTTAAATTAAAGTATATTTGATTACTATTTATGCTTTGAAAAATATTTAAAATAAATTTAGACATTTTGCATATTTTAATAATTATTTTTAAATATTTTTAATAATAAGTTAGATATTTTTTTTTAAATGAGTTAATTATTACATGAAACAATCGCCCCTTCGTCACATCAACCGTCACTGTCTCGGCCACTCAATCCAAACGGATGCTTTTTTTTTTGTCTCTTTCTTCCTCAATTGAAGGTATTTGAAATGTATCAACGAAACAAATATATTTATTTATTTATTTTGACACCAATTTATCAAAGTCATTTTTTTCATTTCTCGAAAAGCATTTAATTATTTTACATTTATTAAATAGATAAATTTTAGAAACATCCAACCAAACAACATCTCTAGAACTTGCATTTGATAGTTGGAGCCACTTCAGCAACATTTTTTTCATTTAGCATGAACCTCGAGATGAATAGTACAAAATCTAAAATATTTTTAAAACAAAAAATATTCAAACTTCAATTAAAAATCATTTAAAACTCTGATTTCAACAAACGTACATTCAAACTGATCGGCTCAACAACACGATCCCAATGACAGCAAAATTAGTGAAATCTGATATAGATCTGATATACATCAAGCCTCAATCAAGTCATTAAACCACATTTAGAAGCTTTGGTGCATAATTGAAATGTCAAATATATTCCAAATACGACAAACTTATATTCAAATTGATTTTCTCGACAAAAAGAATCCAACAAACTCAAGATCGTTCAATTCTGACATTATTAAGACATTCAAATGTTCATCAAACACCATACGATTGAGGAAATCTATCTAGCTCTTTCATTGACGTGATATGGATTCTTTCCTAATTTATAGAGAGATCTGTCCCAAACTCTATAAATAGAGTCATATCCCCTTCATGAAGAGGGACCTTAGTCTCGAACTGGATGAAGAGTTGGGCTGAAGTGAATGAGCTAAAGTGCATACATCGAAGGCTTGCTTCTACAACCGCTGCACATCATATACTATTGTTTACTGATTGTTGTGGACCACTGACGGCCACCTTTTGGTCATCAAAATAGCGAACCCCATGCAGAATGATAGTGTACACCATAGTATCTAGACATAAGTTATGAAACAACGATATGCCCCAAAAACAGTGTAATAATGCACTTCAAATATGATATAATGACACACCTCGAATACGATACAATGATGAGCCCCACATATAATGCGATGACCACCCTGGAAGATGAAATGACAATGCACTTTGAAAATGGTCTAACAATGTACTCTGAAAAAAGTGTAACAATCTACCAAAAAATTTGGTGTAATAATGAGCCCCGCATACGGTGCAACAACGCGCCCCAAAGACTGTATTAACGCACCTGGAAGATGTTGTAACAACGCACCCCACATATGATGACTTTACCGGACTTATGAAGTTCTTTCCTCGAATTTCTTCACTACGACCTGCATGACCAACTACGTCCAACGTGGCTTATAGCTTACGTAGCTCCCACACACCTCCCTCTATGGCCCATAGGTGTTATCACAACTTACTACTACGGCTTATGTTACCAATTATGACTTGTGCGACTCATAGCTCCTACAACTCCTAACTTTGACCTCTATGGCCAATTGATGTTTCTGAAGCAACCATCTACAATCTGCATGACTAACTACTACCACGACTTTCTACTATGACCTCTAAAACCAGCGAGCGTTATCACCCTCTACAACATTCATAGTGAGCTACAGTCTTTCTAACAACCAACAATGACACTATCGATCTACTAACGTTGTTATAGTTAAGACGTACAACCAAATTACGGCTTTTATCGATCAACTACGGTTGCACATCTATGATGATCAGAATCAATCTTTTCTAAATCAAAAGAATGGTGAATCTATGTACTTATAATTATATAGTGGGTTATTTTAACTGGGTTAGGCTTTTTTTTTTTCCTTTCCACGTGTTTCCACATTACTTTTCTTTAATAGGTTTGTATGTTGGATATTCATCCAATACTAACACGCTAACTTATCAATCTATAATTGTGAATCTTTCGACACACATTAACTCTCATGAGGCTCCAAACTTATTAATTTGTATTTTAATTTTTTCTTCTCTTTTAAATTTCAAAACTTTTCTTTGAGTCATGGCTCATTAACTCCCTCTAAGAGTGTAATGAGTCAATCGAGCTCGATTCATACCGACTCAAGCTTCAACTTGATCAATTAGTCGAGTTTGAACTTGATCTTAAGCTTAACACTACAAATTCGAGTTGGCTTATGTGCTCGCTCATTTATTATGAAGTAGAATAACTATTATAACTCAGGCAATTGCTAAATGTTGCTTTCTTGATGTCCAACTCAGTATTTCATATTCTTTGAAGAGCTTTCTTGTGGGACTATGGATAAATTATATAATTTTATCTCAACAATTGTCGTAATTCCCCTTCTCATCCCATTTATTTGCATTTTCATAATTCAAAGTTCTATGGACAAGAGCCGTGTCCTCATACTTAATAAAAAAATTACTATTTAAATATTATTTTCTTAGATGAATTAATTAATTGCGCTTTTGTAAGAAAGTATCTTTCATTTTTTATTTAAAAGAAACCAGCTTTCTTCGTTTCAATAAAAAATGCATTGGAAATTATTTTTTTAAGCACAATATTTAGGAAAAGTAAAATTTCCAAAATACAGCGTACGGATTGATTTGAGGAAGTACAACAGCTGATGAACATACTGTTCGCTTTCAATTGAACTTCGATCAAATATTTAACCAGATCATAAATCTCGAACACTTAGATTAGGTTTCCAATCAAAAAGTCAAATTAATCCCATAAAAAAGTGATTTTTAGAACTCACGCTCGAGAATCTGAAATTCTGTTCTCTTCAACTCCACCCCGTTCGCCGGCGGGCCGGCGCCGCCCATACGGAGGCGGAGACAAGCCGGCCCGACTTCCAACTCAACACGATCTTATTCATCTCGTCCTCCTCAATTCGATAACCCTCATTAAACAAACCAAGCAACAGCTTCGCCTGCCAATGGTTGAAGTAGCTAAGCTCCACCCTACGAAACTTAGCTTCCGCCATCCACTCCGACCAACACTCCAACCTCTCCTCCTCTCGCCGGCGAAACACCTCTTCCACCGCTCCGGCGATCCTCGGCCCAAAAACTACATTCTCCACCATCTCCCTGGCCCAACTCTGCTTCAGAAACCCTGCCTCCAACGCATCCCACATCGTCGAATACCTCTGCACTTCCTCCACAAACCCACCCAAAAACCCTCCTTTTCTCCCCGCGCCTGCCGCCCATCCCTCCTCCTCCACCAATGTCACCACCCTAGCGCCGAACTCCGCAGCGCTTGCGAGAAACGACCGAATCGAAGCAGGGGAGTGATGCTTGTGATGCGGCGCGTGAAGCGAGCAGTTGAACACGATTGCTTCCCCTCTCAGCGTCTTCACCGCCGTCGGCCGGAAACAACCCTCCCGATCGAGCCGGCATTGAGCAAACGAAAACGACAGACCGATCGACGCCGCAAAAGCCGCCAGCTTACTCCCTGTTTCCTGCACAGCCGCCGAAGCAGACTTCCGCCCTGCTGTCAAAGCCGTAATCTTCACATGCGACGGAGGGGGACCGTCTTTTCTCGACACAAAAGCCTGCATCAGCGGAGCCCACTGAGCTCCCTCCATTATATCAAAGTCCACGATGTGAACCCGCCGCTCGCCGCCGACAGCCTCCACGATAGCTTGGTTGGCTGTAAAATGGCCGAAGTTCACGTACGGCGAAGTATCGCGAAGCAGTTGGGACGCCGCCGTGACGGCGATGTTATCAACGGTGGAACAATTCACTTCAGCTTCGTTGTCCATAAGTAGGCGTTGTAACGCCTTAGCGAAATGCGCGATGAGACGCTCCGTGCCGGAGCTTGAAGCTGGTGGAGGAAGCAACTCCTTGAGCCGAGCCAATATCACTTTCGAAAGTTCGCAGCTTTTGTGATCCCCGGCGAGGGCTTCCGCTGCCGCCATTAAAAGGTGGATCAGCTTCACCTCCCTGTCGATCTCTCCGGCTGTGGAAAGCATGAGAGGTTTCTCCGGCGGCACGGCAAAGGTTGCGTTACTTCCAGTGGGTGACGACCAGTGATCGAAACTCTCCGGCGAACTTCCGGCGGGGGTATATACATCACTAAGGTCTTCTTCCATTGAAACCGGGAACCATTCGTTAACCGGAGACCAGTCCGGCCAGCCGACTATGGTTGCAGCGGCGGAGTTATAGCCGGGGTAGTAAAGATCCGCCACGTCCACCATGGCGACTTCCATATGCTCTGAAACAAGCTACAAAACTTCAATCTAAGAAGTATATTCAGCTGGTCTTATATAAATGGGTTCCTTCCCGTGGTCATCAGGTTGTAATTTAAAATAAAAAATTACGATAAAAATCAGCAGAAGTGCTGTTGATCGATAGTGAAATGTATATATTGTATATAAGAAAAAGAATATTAAACAGGGGAGGAGTCGGAAGAAAATTAAGATGGAGAGAAGAGAAAGAGGGGTTGTGGTTGGAAGATCTGTTCAAAGGTGCTACAAATGGCGAGCTTTAAATCAGGGGAAAATCAATTTTATATTATATTTGAAGAAAAATTTCTGCTTTGCAATCTAAGGAAGATTTTATATACGGCCGGCAGCAGCTTCACATGCTGAACTACTTTTGATTGGTGGGAGGAGTGAAGGAAGCGAGGACGTGTTCTTCCGGAATTTTGAATCTCCATCGACATAATTAAGGAGTAGAGATTGGACGAATCTTCTTTTAATAGAAAATTGACGAGAGAGAGAGAGATTGGCGGCGTCAAATCTTAGGAATAAGATTTTACAGGATTTTTTTCTATCGCAAATACAGTAGGAACAGCTGAAAGATATTTCTGCATATATAGATATATATTCAGATATGAGCGATTTGGATTATATGATTTGCATATGGTAACTAGACAAGTAACCGGTACTATCATTGAGAGTAGTAAATTTAAAATGTTTGGCATGACATATATTAAATGAGATTAAATCTTGTGTTCAGGGGGGTCTCGCCCAGGTGAAGAAAATGATTATAAATTAGATATTACATGTATAGTTCCTCATCTCACAGTCGAGAAATGGTTGAACACACTTCGGAGTTACAACGTCGGTGCACGATTGAATTTTTTGTGAGAAGTGGGCAACGATTGATGACGATCGGCGAAGATCGACTGATGATGGTCAACAGCGGTTGGCGGTGATCGATGACAGTTAGTGGTGGTCAACGACGATCAAAGATGGTCAAAGACAGTCGATGGTGATGGATGGAGGTCGGCGGTGATCGACAGCAAACGCTGGTGAACGACAACGGTCGGCGGGTGTTCGTTAGAAAAATCTTGATTTTGATATGAATGGGCTAATTTGAATACTCAATAGTTTGGAAACAATAACACAATCTACTTCATAAGATGAGATCCAAATTAAAATGTTTTTATATAGGTTAGAATTATACACTTGGAAGATTTCTAAATTCTGAACTCCCACTTAGTCACATGAGCTTTTATTTTTGATTGTGCAACTCACAAATTCTATTTGAGGATAATACGCGATGTATAGTCTCGCTACTATTCTCCAAACTATGGCAAGTGATATCACTATATATTCAGACCAAGCTAAGTTGAGGTGCATTTGGTGTGAAAAATTAGGGCAACGAAATCCAGCTGATGTGTGAATATTGATCATTTAAATCAGTTCATTGATCCTAGCAAAATAAAAGAGTAAACTTGTACCTAGTTGACAACAATGCGTTACCGTATGCAAGGTTGACTAAGTAGACTAAGCCTAATGCATAAGGTAGACCTTTCTAAATAGGTAAGAAATGATTAATTAAATAATTATAACACAGATAGATGCATACATGCATACATATATACAGAAACTCAACTGCTCAACTCATTGCACCTTTTTGTAGGAGAAATTTGATCTCATGTTCTTAACAATAAACTTTGATGTAAGAGTGATATGAACTCACATCCATTACAATAATATTATTGATGTCTTCGCAACAAAGCTTGTCAACTCCTAATGATCTTGAGATTTTATAGTTGCCATAAAGAATGTTGGAAGAATATTATGAAAGTTGCAAACTTTCATGTCCTAAGCTCTTCTTTCGCCCTTCAATCTATTTTATAAGTTAGCTAGGGTCTAAGGTTTTATACCAGAAGGTTGTACTTCTGAAGAAAGGAATAATCTATCTAAGTGGTCCTAATTAATGAAGGCTTATTATCAAATGAATAATACTTGTTACAACTCCTTAATTATATTAAATATTTCAGCAATTTTCAAATGAGAAATAAATTTGTGTGAAGTAGTTCGTCAACTTCAATTGAGCGGGTCGAGTTCTGGAAGAATTATTGCGTATGGATGTTCGGATGTGCAGAAAACAATAGATGGGGAGATTAGTTGACCTCAAATTCACATATATGAGATGTGGCCTTGTCATCTACTGTTGTTCGTACGTGTGGTGTATGTACGTAATAATTTTTCTGAGTTATGATGGTTAGATATCAAAAATTACTTAGGCGACCTGGACAAATCGGTCGTTGACGAGTTGTGCGAGTATCCCTGCTGTAAGACAAAATCTGCTAGTTGACTTCAAGGTTGAGTACATCATTCGAGCGGTTTGACTTAGTTCTCTTGGTGAGTCTAATAGGTTGTTGATGCTTAAAGTACTACACAAAAGGAAAAATATATATTTTGCTATGCAGTATAATAAGAAGGATATTTTCCTCTTATAATCTAAAATAAGATAGTAAGACAAACCAGACCAATCTACGGAATGGCATTATAAGACTAGATAAAACAGCTTGTATTTTAATGTGGATTTGTGCTTTGACCATTATCCGGTTTTATAAATATCTGCTCTGACTTTACAAAATGGGCCATTTACGTGCATTTATATTACCAAATTCCTATGCATTCATAATTCTAACAGCTAAATTTTGCATTTTATATTTATACCACGCAAAAATATCATTATTTTAATTTTTAAAATGTATTACAAATCTTTTCATGCATAAAGAAAGTATATATATGTATATATATATATATATATAAATTAAAATTTTTAGGAGTTAGATATATAAAAGCATGGCAGGTATGTAAATCATACGATTTATGTTTCTATTTGTGTGATCCAGTAAATAAAAGATAAATCGTTTTATATTGATGTAAGTATTGTTTTCCATGATATAAAAATAATATTATACGACAAATCATGCAGATTAATCCATGAAATAGTGAACATTTACGCGTCCATTATGCTTTAGGATATATTAATTTAATTTTTTTTATTTTAATTTTATTGAAATATAATAATATTTCTTTTTCGTATTCCACTTCAACTTGGCCTAGATTAAACTTAAATTAGGATATAATTTCTCAAGGAAATATTAGAAAATGATCACTCGCCAGATTTTTTCTTTTTAATATTAAATGCATTTTCTATTTGATCTAATTTCAACTTCATCATAATTTCATTTTAATTTCCACTCTTTCGAATCTTTCAAAGAAGTGTCTGTTTGGAGCAGCTGCAACTTATTGAATATTCTGTTGATAATCTGATTAAAAATAATCTGTTTATAAGTTAGGTGCGGTGACTATTACAAGTTTATATTTTTTTGGAAAAACCAGACCACTGCCAGAAAACTGTCATTGCACCTAGATAGGTGATGTGTAAAAAAGTTGTTTTCAGCATTTTGAAAACGCATAAGCTGTTAAAACGTAGTTTACCCTAGTTTACCCAAACAGGCCAGAGGCCAGATGCGTTTTCAAAATACCACCGCACCAAATAAGCTGCCCCAAACGGACCCAAAGTCAGTCATATTTGGTCATATATTCAACATTTATATCCGGTGGATAACACGAAATTTTTCATTAGAATTTGGAAGATTTACCTTCATATCCCTCAATTCTTATGTAGTTGCATATCCAACCCTAATTAGACTTCAATTTTTACAAACTTACATTCTTACCTATTTATGTACGAAAAAGGTGTATATCAATTTTTAAGAGTTAAAATAGTGGTATTTCTGACGTGATATGAATGATTGAATGGTATGAATGTAAAAAGTGAAATTTAATTGCTAGAAATGTAAATACATAGGAATTTGGTGAAATGTTTATTATTATTATTATTATTATTATTATTATTATTATTATTATTATTATTATTATTATTATTATTATTATGTATTTAAATATCTAAAACCTTAACATTCATATTTATATTTACAACACTTTCGTGTTATAAACTTATGCATGAAGATGTGAGTTTCACTTTTAGAAAGTAAATAATATTGGTATATTTTAATGCGAAATTAAGGATTTGAGTGTTCTGCATGTAAATATGAAAGTTTATGTGTTAGATATGTAAATATGAAAGAATTGGGGGTCCTAGGGAGAAGACAGCAGAGATTGATAGAGGAGGATAGAATGGTATCCTAGTTTTTGAAGAGAAAATAATTTGAATATATGAGACTATGAAATTCAACTTTATTTGCTCTTGAATAATTATAAATTTTTATTAATTTAATTGAAATCAAACATTTAATACCTATTTGTGAAATAAAATATATATTAAAATATACGAAAGTATGGAGTTTTATTCACATCTAGGAGTGTAAATGAGCCGAACACGAGCGAGCCCAGGTTTAGCTCGTGTTCAGCTCGTTTATATTTCAAGCTCAAAAAGTGTGTTTGTGTTCAGCTCGTTTGCTCAGCGAGCCGAACACGAGGCATTCACGAAGAAAGATTTGTTTTGACAACTATAATCATGTAGCTATACGATGTTAAGGATTGAGGAAAGATTTAAAACATTATTTGAATCTAAATTAATAATTTTTATTCTATTTTCTTCATTAATACTTTTAATTGATTATAAATCTTTGTAGTCTAATAGTCAATTAAATTCTTTAAAAATACTACTCATCAAAGATATATATATAATTGATTAGTAGTATTTCGAGCCAAAACGAGCCAAAGACGAACGAAAAAATATTTGTTCGTGTTATTCGTGTTCAGCTTGTTAACTTGGCGAACGAGCCGAACACGAGCTGTTCGTGAACAACGAGCCGTTTTGACGGCCCAATTCACATCAATAAATTAAAAATTATGTAAAAATTTAGAGTTACCTAAATAAATAAAATATGTATAAGTGATTCCAAGGGGCTTGAGTTATTGGTTTGTTAACGGTACATTGAAATGAACTTCCTTTCTCCATCAAATTTGAGTTAATTATT